AGGAGCTGTATTTGTTGCTTGAGTTGGCATGCTACCCGAGTGGTTTGTATCCAGAATCTAAAGATTGCGTTCGTAGGGGTCCGGACCAGAAACGCTGCAGACGTAGGACGGAACCACATTGAGCCGATGAACCAGAAGCGACCATAACGATAAAGTTCGAAACGAAAATACCGACTGTGTACGTTGACAAGAGCGTGGGTGATCAGGCCAGCTTTCGCCAAAGTTGACTGAAGTCAACGGTACCAAACGGAGATGGTCGAAGGCGTGGGCTCAGGAAACAAAAAGAAAATCAAAAAAGAGAAGAGTGTAGCATGCGTGTAGTATAGGAATAATCCTACACCGTATCGGTTGTTAACTGTGAGACTAGTCGCGGAAGCGTACGAGAAACCGTACTCGGCGACCGGAACGTGAGACGGTAGTATCGTTCGTATTTCGTGAGCCTGCAATCTCATCCAAGGTCAGAGGCGGCGTGGTCTGCTGATCTGGACGTTAGACTGTCGTCTCGTCCGTAGATAGTGCAGATGACGCGTGCTGTTGACCGGGACGTGAGAATGAGGTCACGGATGTATCTAGCGTGGAATCTGAAGAAGATTTAAGGATCCCGCTAGGTTTGATAGGTCTAGCATTGAATCGCAGGGTATCAGATAGGGCATTGTCATCGACGTGTGCTGATTTGAGACGATCAATGCTGACGATCTCAACGCGGCCATATCGATCAACCTTGATGGTCTTTTCGTGACGAGCGATCACGTGAAAAGAGCCTTCGTAAGGTTGTTGCAAAGATTTGCGTACCAAATCTACTCGTATGAAAACACGTGTACAGGTAGATAACACTCAAGTGAGAGCGACCTGTCGATGTTGTATTCGAGTTGACACCGGAGACAGCGTTCGCATAAATGCAGACAGTCGATGGACGTAGAGTGATTTACCGAAATTAGGTCTGCTCCGTGGTGTGAAGAATTCTCCGGGCAGACGCAAAGTCGTGCCGTATACAAGTTCAGCGGCGGAATATTGGATATCTGCCTTTAAGCTCGTTCTGACCCCTCAAAGAACGAGCAGTCAGTCAGTCAGCTACAACGTAGGACCAGGCACATATATGCATCGGTTCAGGTTGCCATACCTCATTAGCACAGCAAGAACGAGCGGTAAGGTTTCGTGCCAGTTGCTGTTTTCGTGTGCTCGTAGAGCACTTTTAAGTTGGCAGTGAAACCGTTTACTTAACCATTTGGTGCTGGGTGGTAGGTAGACGGATATGCTTATGCGCATGCATTTCGTACCAAGCAGCCGGGTCAGCGAGGAGAATCGTTAATAGGGTAAAATTTCTCGAATAAAGCGTGGAATTTACCGTCAAGCGAATAAAAAGTGACCAGGATTCGGTACAATTACGTAGGAGTCTATTATATTAATACTATTCTTATCGTTATCCGTCATGTCGAGTATATTATGTATTAAAAGACAATATGAAAATATACGACAGACGTGGATAGATGACTAATAGACTCACCAAATTGGCTTCTTTGGAAGGTTTGACCAGAGGTTGAGGCGTGTTCGAGAATTCGGGTCAACAGTTGTAGCGTGGTGTTGAGTGGAGATTGACTATGAACACCGCTACCAATAAACACGTGTAGTGGGATTGGACCATAACCAAAAAATCTTCAAAGCTGAATACGAGATTACTCGGAAAATAGATATTCAATATTTAACGCGAAGAAATACCTAACGATGGAGAAGGCGGACAGTGAATTGAATAGACTAGAGTTGATCGAACGGCATGGCTCGGCCATACAGGCGTGGTCTCTGCTGAATGTTACCTTATATCTTCTATTCATATTAAATATATTGTTCTATCTCTAGCCTAACCTTGTTCTACATCATGTATTGGTAATTGATATGATACAGTGAGTTGGTGTAGTCGATGGTGTGACTTCCACGTAAGATCTTATAGATTAGGCAGTCATATCATGACAAATCTACAAATTTAGGATTAAGTCTATTATTAGAGCAGTACTAATATCATAGTAGACCATAATTCTACACACGTGCCAAGTAAATCAGAAGGCGAAGGTTGAACGTAACCAAATAAATCCATAAAATCCCCGAGAAGCCAAATATCAGAAGGCAGTTAATGGACCAAGTCGAGATATATTTGCTGGCGATCTCGTGGTATCGAAAGGATACCGAGATCGTGCCAGGACACAAGCTTGGTTACAGAACGTAACCGAATTCGCGCGAAGTCACAATCAAAGTGTAAGAATAATGGATGTTTTTAGCACAGTTAAACAAAAGCACATTAAAACAGTCACTGGTACAATTGGTTATAATAATAATTGTTTTCAATAAACAAATCGTGTTCTCGTGATAAAAGTGAGTCACTACACACTCTAAAGTTACTCTGTTGTTTGTGTTTCAGTCTCTTCCAACTTCGTCAGACATTAGAGACCACTATTCTCCAGGGCTTGGGTCAGAAGAGATCATTCGTGGCCCTTACAGTCGGCAACAGATACATCGAAATCACATGCTTAGTAAATTAGAAACCTAGGCATATATATATTGTACTACAGTGTATCTCGAAGTTTGAACTTACTTTTTACGTTCTGACTAAATCAATGGATGACCCAGTGACTGTATTGTGAGAGGGCAGAAATGTATTTTTGCTACTTTGTTATTGGATATGCAGATCACCAATGTTAGTGATCTACGTTGCCTACTCTAATTGAACAAGGATGGTATGACCAAATGCCTTACACTAAGGTTACACCATGAAGGAAATCCTTGACCTCGGTTGTGCGGTTATGATAAACAGCTGAATAAACTACTTATTTGGCTGGATAGGATTAATGCTCACAATCGGCAACAGCGCATATCAGTATCATCAGGTTACAAAAATGCGAAACGGAACAACTGCCGAATGCTCTTGTCCATGGTGTGCAATTGATTGATGACCATGTAAATTGTGGCGAGCACATTTCGCGATCTTTAATTATAAACAATGATATATAGTGGTACTGAAAAATCGTTATGAATCGGTTTATAAAATGCTGAATAGTCTATAGAGCGTTGAAAAGAGCTAATGTTACACTAGACGTTACAAAGCATTTACGTCACAATGTTTTTCTGTTTGGATAGTGATGTGAAAATGGCCAATCTCTCATTGTTCGGTCGAAAACAAAATTACGATGACATATTTCAATGAAAAATCGGATCGTGAGTTAACTTGTCTGTGCAAACCATACAGTAAACATTAGTTAACGTTGTTATTACATATAAAACTAAAATTTTGATCGAGGTACCGTAGACACTTTGTAAAAGGCTGATGAGATAGGTTTATTATTTAGCATTACGTAACGTATTACGTGTGGTAATACATCGAAGTGTCTAGTTAAGACGGTGTAGGGGCAGTGAAATGTCACTGAGCCCTGGCCAAATCAACTGGCAGTTGGATCACTGAATGTCAAACAGATCATCGCTCCCCGTCAAGGCCAGGGACAACTAACGCGCATCCGTTAATCATATGCCATGGACTGGCCCATGCGGCAGTGGTCTTACTTTCGCTTGTATCTATCTTAACTAATATATTTCTGTAATAACGTCCTGTGTGTTGTACAGTCTTCAAAGCATCTATGATACCTTGATACGTCAATGGGGTAGTCCACGTAAGGTGCTGACCACGAGGTGTGACTTGGACGTTAGCTGGTTCGTCACACCATTCCCGTCTAACTCGAATAGGTCTCCAATCATTTTCGACATAGATCATCTACGTTGGTGAACTACAACGGTTACGATTGGTTTATTCTCAGTACGTTATCTTACAAAGCATAATTATACATGATTATTATGAATTGATAAGAGGTGGAGTATATGACTACACCATGTGAAAGCACCTAATTATTGTTGTTAAAAGTCAATTGAAAGTCGAAACTTGTGTAAGTTACTTTCATAATTACATTGAAGATGCCGCAAGTATTTGGAGTTTGACAAACCAGTAAAACCTCTATAATGGAAACGTGCCAACCCAGTGAAATTAGAATCCAGGAGCGAAAAGGTTCGAAGATATGACCGACAGGCTATCAGTATACCGAGAAGTGACTGATCCAAGCTGCCTAGCGGTTGTAAGAAAAGTTGAACACTTCGTACCAACTCGTGATATGGTGCAAATGAGTGACCGAGAGCCTTTAGCGAGATGAGTCCATTAAAACTAATGTGGTTAGCATCAAATGTCGAGAGCTTACAGAGTCATTTATTTACCGCTTTAATATAGTAGAAATTCGTAATGGTCAGTCCCTCAATATGATAGAAATCCAAGGGAAGAGTGAACCACATAGAAGATATCACTGAAATGGTTGTTTGAACAATGCTCGAGGGCGTTTAACTGGTCGTACAAACAATTTGATATACCTACACCAGTAAGAAAACCAAAACTCAGGGCATCATCAACTTCATCAATGTTGTTAGAGAAGAGTGTGTAGACTGATGTTGATGAGAAATTCTAGTAGCCGTTTATCGAAATGTTCATCGGCAAGAACAGGATACAAGTTGGTTTGCGCCGAAATTTAGTTCACGTAGTACAGAAAGATGATAAAAGATTCGTTTGTCACATATTTTACGAAGCTGAACTCCCCTAGTCAATAAAGATCACTCGTGAGTTCTTGACCTTGGATGAAAATTAGGAGGGCATCATCTGAACGTTGAGTTTGTTTTCGTCTAACTTAAAAGTACATGTCACGGGATTTCCTTCAACAAGTCATAGTATAAATCAGTCATCCGATTCCATCAAAACGTCAGTATGAACTTTGAGGCCAATGACAAAATAGGCCACACGTTCAAGGTTATGCCTCAGACATTTTCATTTCACTTCAAGTTTCAGAGTTTAAAACTTTAGTATTTCTACTTAATGTGCCAAGAAATCGCCCAAGATATCTCCAGTGTGCGCTTTAAAAGGCCTAAATTCCGTTTTATCTGCTTAACCTTGGGTCCAAAATGTTGGATATTGGATAAAGGTAGTGGGCTCTGTTTGAATTTGAGCGCAGCTGATGGCCGATGGCATCCCGTAAACCAAACGCGAGTGCTGTTAAAGCACTTCAAAAGGAACTTAAAGATTTGAATGAGTTCCCAATGGAGGGGTTCAAAGTGATGGTTTCTGAAGAAGAAAACCTTTTTGTTTGGGACGTCGCCATATTTGGACCACCAATGACTTTGTATGAAGGAGGTTATTTCAAGGTAGGTTACTCTTTTTTTGACGTAGACTTTTAGGCACGATTATGTTTCCCTGACGATTATCCATATAGTCCTCCTACAATGCATTTTCTAAGCAGGATGTATCACCCAAACATATATGAGAATGGTGAAGTCTGCATATCAATTTTGCATTCCCCAGGTGATGACCCACAGAGCGGTGAGCTGCCGTCTGAAAGATGGAATCCGACACAAAACGTCAGGTTAGCATGAACCACGCTAACTTTATTCGTTTTAGGACGATTCTTTTGAGTGTAATTTCTTTATTGAATGAGCCAAACATCCATTCAGCTGCTCATGTCGATGCATCAGTGGCTTATAGGAAATGGAAAGAGTCCAATGGAGTTCAGGATGAGTATGAACGTGTAGTTACGTAAGTTCCAAATCACTTAGTTATGAATTGACAGTCTGATGTTTAAGAAATCAACTAATTATTCTTGCAGTGGTCATAAATTTAAGCGTGTAGTTGCTTAATTATTTCATCCCAATTATAGACATATCTAGCATCGTAGTTTGTGTGCTTTCTCTACGAGGTTAAGCTCCTTATTATAAACGCCGTTTATTTGCCTACTGCCACGAACAGGAAATGCCGAGTTTAAAATCTTTAGTATTCTTCATGTTTCTGTGAAAGGTATTCACTTCCACATAACACACTCGTCTGATGTTGAAAAAGCAGTTAATCATCTACGTAAGCTGCAAATCTTCGTTATTTCAGAAGTGGCTTCACATAGATTCAACTAGCAGCTAGGCAACCTACCTTAAGTTTGAGCAAACCGTGTTGCTTTTCATTGATCTAGATGAAGAAGTTAAGATTTACTTAGATAGTTTATAAAATTTTTCAATGATCTACCCTACATGTCGTACTTTCATCCAGCACAAGTTATTGTCATGGATACCGACAGCATCGTGTCCCTTCATCCATGTTGTTTCACTTAGATCAACGAAAGCATCCAAATTTAGCTCATTTATCAAATACAGGTTAACGGGCTGTGGAGCACTGTTAAAATACTGATTGTCCAAAAAGGAGTGTCATATGTAATGATGAATCAAAAATAGTTTAAAAGGTAGTTTTGTGTAAATAGAGAGAGTCATCTCCCTCTCGAAATGCTCTCAAATGGTCATGCATATACAGCCACTACCAGGGAAGTCCTACTCACCTCCTTCTCGTGGCGGGTGTTGTTTACGAAAATGAGAGGACAAAAGGCGAATGTCTGGCAGTTTAACCGGGTTGGTGGATATGAAGGATTCACTTAGGGAAGCTGGTCAGCCCTGATTTCAAACCAATGGTGTGCATGGGCTCCAGTATCCTGAGGGAACAAATGGCGTATAAACCTATTGTTGGTCACCAGCTTCCATAGGACTGCATCTCCTGACGTTGTGGATTAGACCTTTAGGTCGAAGGCTCCGAGTGTGGCCTCCTAAGGAAACCACCTGCTTCGGTTTGGGCATCCAGGCAGTATCACAGATCACACACAAATCAAGTGACCTGTGTGGCGCATATCTATTCGATGCCCCTGTGTATTGATGTTTATGTGTTCAAATAAATAATAATAGACGTCACACTTTCTTTTACCCCAGTTTTTAAGCAATTTTCTAAATATCCTTTTCCTGCTTTAGATCACTCGTTAAAGCGACTCACGAGGAGGCTAAACAAGATGGAGTTACTGTTCCCACCACCCTTGAGGAATACTGTGTTAGTGGTAGACCTGCGTCTAAAACATTTTATCAATGTGATGATGTAGATGGACTATCTGATTATGATGATCATGACGAATACTATGGCTCTGATGATGATGACAATGATACTGTATCAATTGATATGAAGGAAGATGAAATCAACCCTAGCAAGGAGTCTCAATCGTCTACAAAGGTAGATTCTGGAGTAGAAGAGCCATGTGTAAGTAAAACGGGGAAGTCTGGGGAATCCTCGAAAGTTGTCGATCATAGAATATCAAATGAATGTAGCCGTGTTACGTCACCAAGCTAGTTTACTCGTTTCGTCTTCGAGTGTGGGAGTCTTACTGGTCACTTTATACTTTTTCTTGACTGAAGCAGCAAGGATTATTAAAGTAATCCTTATGGTTTATAAACGTTGTGTTCGTAGAATTACTTATTCAGATTCACATTTTGGGTGACTTATAGTGTTTTGCATTCAATGGTCTATATTCTATTGAATGTAAAGGATTTTGGTTAGTTTTGTAAATCAAAGTTATTTTGCTATTTTGGACACTATGTACATGACATCGACTACTATCACTACTGTTTTCGCTTATCTTTACTAGTTTGTAACAGTCAGACATATGCACAAATACAATTCTTGTACATTTTTTAAAACTTGTATTGAACTTCCATTTTTTCATTGATCTTTGTCTTTAAGTTTATCACTACTTAGAAAAAAGCGTGAACTAAGCCTATGCACGAAATTTATCATATTGTTTGCATGGTCACATTTAGTATTGTTCGCGACTTTTTATACTTTTCTCACGTTACTGTTCAAATTGCACAAAAATTGAGGACTTCAATTATCTCCTTAGCTTGTATATTTGAGATCTTTTCAGCTGTTTGACATTTTACTTATCGGTTGACGACATGGGTTTCACCAAGGGAATCGGTTTGTGTCTATTTTTGTATGTTCCGTCATGTTTTAAGTGTGGTAAGGATTCTTATCTCAGTAGGACAATTTGGTAGTATCTGATTACAGAATGAAACCATTCGCCTCAGGTAGCACAAAACCACCTAAATATTTTGAACGTAACAGTGTATCAGGCGCAAAGTTAATCACATCGAAAGTCATAACGTTAGATTGTGTGACGTTATTCTCCGTAATCAGTCGAAAGATGCATCTAAGAGGCCTTAAGATATTTCATCTTAAATACAGTTGATAAACGAGAATCGGCTTGTAGAATAAGTTTATCTAATCATTATATCTTTTCTAAGTAGAGTATTCGTATCATTCTTTGAAAACAGATGGATATGGACAACAGTTTCTGAGGTTTCACAATTCCAGATTTGTATTCAGTTGAATACTAGGATTAATATATTTTAATTGAATTAACCCAGATAGCATTGTTTAGTTAGATCAGAGTGCTTTTCATGGTTATTGAAGGAAAGGATTTCAGTTCGTATAAGCTCGAACAGTTATTGATAAAATTCGTTTATGTGGAATTTCACTAAATCGTTTGGAACATTTGCTTTTAATGTAAGATCTTTTCAGTCTGATAAGTGTTGTTTATCAAACAATTGACCAAGATTAGTAGTTGGGTTTTCGTTGTGGATTGTGACTATTACATGTTTATCTACTCATTCTCTCAGGATCCACAGGATTTACGTATTAGTTTGAATGTAGATTTTCAATCATTTAGTGTGAAAATTCCCACCGACTAATTTTATTACAGTCTTAATGAATAAACTTTATGTCCTTGTGGTGGTGGTGGGGGGGACAATTAATTACTTTTAGGTTTATATACATTATTAGTTACATATAAATTACTTGCTTTCTCAAATATAAACTCAGAACCGCTAAACTTATGGACACTAGTAAACTTATCAGGTTACGAACAAGTTAAGGAGTAAAGGTAACTTAAATGTAGACTGACAACAAGTCTACACAATTATCGTGAGCAGTTGTGTGTAGCTAAGGCAAAAGTGATGGGAAAAGCGGCGGCTGTAGGTAACAAAATTACTAAAGAAAGATGTACTAAAAATTCGGGAGTTAGTTAAACGATTTCTCAGAAAGACTAGACATTGATCCACTCAATACAAAATAATGCGACGATGGATAGAACAGTTTAACTACTCTCCAGCTACACTTCGATTGCCTACTTTCACCAATCAACCTGAATGAGATGTCGAACAAAGCCTCCTGACTCTTGAAGAAGTAGGAAAAAGCGTGGTTAGTTCGAAACAAGGGTGTGTAGCAAGCCCCGATAGGTTGACCCCCTAGAGTTCGTTAAGGGTGGCAGTCCAGTTCTGGCTGTTAGATTGAGATATTAGTTGGAGACTGGGAATCGGAAGTAATCCTGTCTGACTGGTCTCAATCACTGATTGTCCCAGTCTATAAGCAGGGACAAAATCTTCGTGTGATAAACCACAGAAAAATCAGATCAACTAATATAGTGTTTAAAATAGCCTCCGTAGCCATCCAACCCCCAACTAGGGCATATGAAGAGCAAAGTCAAGAAAACTAGTGGTTTGAGATTTGGGTGTGGATGTGTAGATCGAATATTCACCTCTTTCCAGATTGTGGAATACACACCTATCAACTCTCAACCACAATTGTATTTCCCGACTTTGAGGCAGCATTCGACCCTGTTGATTGACAAGTTTTATGGCAGTAGTTATTACTGAAAGGCGTACTGAAGAATTACACTAACCTTGTACAAGCTATCTACTCGAATACTACTGGTGGAGTGATAGCGAATCGTCATCAGAAGTGATGACCTCAATTGGTGTTCGTCAGGCTATCCACCTTCCTCATTTTAATATAACTTTGTAATATTGACTTTTTTAGAGATAACGTTCTCATCATCTAATTTTTCGGAGGTTAATCTTCTACTAAGAGATTCACTTGCTAACTTAAAATACACAGGTGATTTAGTTCTGTTTGATGAGAACGTTTACAAAATTCAGAGTCTTCTGACCACGTTAAGCAACAATGGATTGATATTTTGCATGTGTTTCTCTCCTTCCAAGTACAAAATGTTTTTTTCAGTGGCTGGTCGGCATCAACAGTTGAACTAATAATAGGGAATGAGTTGGTTGAGTTTGTCGATCGCTTCACTTATCTCGAAAGCTTAATCATCTCAGTTTGATTGGTGTCGGAAGAAATCTCGACATGCATTTAAAAAGCTCGACTGACTTTTGCTAACTTTTGGCTTGGATGAGATATACAAACCAAGACATGAAATTAATTTTTGGAAATAGTGATTTTTGAATTGATCAACGTAGGTTGGTGGAGACCACCTGGTTGGAGTTCACGTTTTTATCGTGATGAATGTTTATAGACTTTGTATGTTATGGCTCAAAATCGTTCGCCATGACGTAGGTCCACTCTGTCTTTCCACTATATTCTAATTTCCTTATACACGTTTCTACTTCACTAATTTGTGTTATCTCCTCGAATTGTATCTTGGACGTCTAAGCTTTTATTGTACTACTAATACTGCTACTATCGCTAATAGTATGGGATTCGCCCTTAAAATTTCATATCGCTTTCCTAATGGAGTATGAAAACTTGGATGGTTATTTGAACGTACCTTGTTCTGCGTTTCGTATGACTGTCTAAGACTAATATCAGTTTGTCAGTATATGTTTCTGTGACTATCGATATTGTCATGGAGTGCCACGAAATACCCTGGTACGGCTGAGGATGTGGAGAGTCAGCTTTCCCTCCCAAAATGCTCTCACATGGTCATGCATATACAGCCACTACCAGGGAAGTCCTACTCACCTCCTTCTCGTGGCGGGTGTTGTTTACGAAAATGAGAGGACAAAAGGCGAATGTCTGGCAGTTTAACCGGGTTGGTGGATATGAAGGATTCACTTAGGGAAGCTGGTCAGCCCTGATTTCAAACCAATGGTGTGCATGGGCTCCAGTATCCTGAGGGAACAAATGGCGTATAAACCTATTGTTGGTCACCAGCTTCCATAGGACTGCATCTCCTGACGTTGTGGATTAGACCTTTAGGTCGAAGGCTCCGAGTGTGGCCTCCTAAGGAAACCACCTGCTTCGGTTTGGGCATCCAGGCAGTATCACAGATCACACACAAATAAAATCAAATGACAATAATTACTGGAAATACTGTTCTTACTTCGATTAAAGTTCAAACAATTCATTTTATAACATTCATTTTTATTTTTTTTTATATACGGCGTCACTTATCTACTCTCTTCTATTCTCGATTTGTGCATCCTTATTTTTCAACTTATACAGCAACTCACCCATGGCGGAAAATTTGTTTTATCTAAACGATCTCGAGTCACTGACTGGTCGAAAGTTGAATGCTACCACCGAATACCAGCTTTGAGGCGTCACTTGTATTATACCACCGAATACGAATACTGGCACAGTCTTTCTGAACCCACATATACTATTCAAACTGGCTTCCTTCAACGTTCGCACACTAATGCAAATCGGACAACAAAAGGGGTTGACTTTGTCTTTAGAATGTCTTAGTATCGACGCCCGTTGTCTATCCGAGACTCCAATGAAATACTATAAATTTGTTCTCCATCTGTCGCTGTTTTACATGCGTTTATCCGGGGACCCTGTGGCATCTTCCTCTGGTTTTGCTGGAATTTGTGTCTTACCAAGCGCTAGAGCTGAGGCAGCATTGATCGATTAGATACCCACTAACAGACGGTTGGTTATGTGCTGTTAGATTATCAAGTTCCATCAAAATGAAGAGAACTCGGTGTGGGAAACAGTATCTTTTCGTCATCCTTGACTATACCCCGTCAGCTTGCAACCCGGATGCAATCAAGGATGAATTCTACCACCAGTCAACTGTTCTTCAGAAAGTGCGTTTGACAGATATTGTAGTACTAGCCGGTGACTCGAATGCTCAGGTCGGGGGTCTAGGCACAGAAGAGAGTCGTTTAGGTGGCCGATGGGGACTTGTTGGTCGCAAGTCAGATAACGGTAACTGTCTACTACAACTGTGCACAGACCACAACCTGTTTCTGGTTAGCACTAACTTTCGGCACAGTCATCGCCGATGTGCCACCTGGCGTCCTCCCTCTGCATCTCAAGCCTGGACTCAGATTGATCACGTCGCGATCAGCTACCACTGACGTGGTTGTGTGCAAGACTGTTGCTCCTTTTGGAGTACCTATCTGGACTCTGACCATGCTTTGGTCTGCGCCAATCTTACCTTACTTTTCAGTGGCCAACGAAGTGACCTCCGCCAAAGAATTGATGTCAGCAAGTTGGTTGCAACTAAGTATCGAACCGAGCTAGCTACCACTTCACCGAAAAGTATGGATGAGGATTGGTTGCAACTTCATGACGCCATCAAAATGACGAGTAAAGCCGCTTGCGGCTCCTTACAACTCATCGAAGCCCGTCGGTCTATCCCAGGTGACCGTGAGTTTGACCACAAACGAAGGATGTTACGTAAGTAAATTGGGCAAAGCTTGCGTAAGGATCGATAAACCTAGTGGTCTAAGCGTGCTAATGATCTGGAAGCAGCAGCTGCATCTTGTAACTATCGGGAGCTCTTCCAATTCACCCGAGCCACTGGCAGCAAGAAGTCTAGTGTGAGCGAAACAATTTGTGAGGATGACGGGATGCCAATCACCAACATCCATCGATGTCTTGGACGATGGACAGTTTTTCGAGGGGCATTTCAACTGGTCCGTAGCCCAACAGCACCGATAATACTGTCCTTCCCACCATGGCCTGTGAAGACTGATTCTCCAAATGAAGTGGAAGTTCGCAAGGAACTCCATCTCTTAAAACGCTAGAAATCACAGAGCCCGGATGACTTATCTCTGGCTCTTCCTAAAGGTGTTGGTGACTTTCCGGTTAAGGAACTGATTGCATTGTTCACAAAGGTTTGATAGTCA